AGACCATGTTACAACGTCTCAGCACACATCCCAATCCAGCAAAACCGGTTAAACAGCCTACATCTATGGACACTGTTGCCGCAAGCATCCTGTACGATCCCGATACAGGAACTACTTTTGATTCCTGGTTCAAACGTTGGGAAGATGTATTCCGTTTTGAGTTCGCAGATGNCGCGCACGCCTCCGAGTCAGGCCACACGCACGCTCGCAACGCTCCAGACAGGCTGAACCTGATTGGATGATCACAGAACGTGTCAGCCAACGTTTGTCCAATCGATCAATCGATATGTCAAGGACACTATCTGATTGATGCGTCACTGCGCCATCCTCGTATGCACGATTAGTTCTATATTTTTTTGACATACATGCTGACTGTGGTCTCAACCTGTGTTCCCTGTCCGCGTTGTCGTTGGGGGTTAAGCAAGAGTCGCTCGTGCCATTCGTACGCTTAGACCAAACACAGCATTACCAAGTAAGCAGTCTAAATTGGTCGAAAATGTAATGATCGAAAATGTTTGCAAATAACATAAATAGTGTGAGACTGCGGCAATTACACTGAGCATGCACTTCTCTGACTTTCACCAATGTCTGGAGAAACCTCGTTGACAGATATTCACATCGGAACCATATCAGACAAAATTAGAATCCGGATAAATTGGGCTTAGCAACTATTGAATATAAGTACCGTACATTGTTGTTCTTTCTTTTGCCTTGCATCACCGGTAGATCCTAGGTTATTGCTTTGAGCTTTTCTCCATACGCCCTAGTCGGTTGGGTTCCCCATTCGTTCATCTTTATTTACTTGTTCTAAATCTCCATTCTGTAACTCTATCCGTCTCTTCCCCTTTCCGCTATTCTAGTGTGTGAGCATGTCCACTGTTGCTATTTCTTCGCTGGATTATTCTGTCTTGGACGATGGTGCAATACTTGCTGTCCAAGATCTGAAAGGAGAATTACTACTTGTTCATAGTGACAAGTATTCTCCGCTCGTCAACCTGAAGGCAAGCAGTTCGCAAATAAAGGAACATTTGACCGATCCTACTTTGGAACCACAGTTTCTGCGACAAGGTCAGCTGTGTTTTTCTAGACCGTCGGGACGCTATTTGATTCAGTCCGGTGCGGTTGGTGCTGAGGGTGGTCAGATGACCGTGTGGAACGCACATATAGGAGCAGAAGTGGGTAAGTAGTTGATATTCCTGGTGATTTTCCGAGTTCGCGAGTTAGCTTTTCGCACTGGGACTGACTTCGTTTGTGTTTGTCCTCAAAATGTTTGCTGCGATCTGTTTTCAGTTCCATGGATTACTTCGAAATCTTGGAGTATGCATCAGAAACCGTTGTGTCGTATCACCGCTTGTGCTGCGGACAGTCATGGTCGTATCCTCTTGGTTGGTGGAGACGATGGTCAAATGGCTGTGATCTGTGCGCAATCTGGCCGTCTGTTGTCCAAGCCCAACGATTCGCAGTGCCGTGCTCCGGACCGGTCTAAAATTGAGTGCGCTTCCTGCATAATGTTGTCACCAATGCATCAAGCGCCGTATGCAAATGTATTCCGATATCTGGGTTCATTTGGAACATCTACTGGCATGCTTCTGGTGAGCACATACCACCTGCGTGAATAATGAAAAATATGTGATTAATCAGTTCGGTTTAAACTATTTTTCCGCACTATCATTTCACCATTTTTTTGGCAGCCAGCTAACATCGCTTGCAATATTCGTAATAAAGTTGAGACCTAAATAGTGCCAATGAAAACACGATGCAAATCTACTGCAATTTGAATCGCCATCAACTCGCTGAAACTTGATTATTTAGAACCCATGCACGGTTTCCTGTCTAATCTCAAAATAGAACTAAAGCTCGCTGCAGTTAGATAGGTAAAACAGAGAACAGAGAGAACAAATGGAGATATGAATGAATAGCTTTTTTTATAGTTTCACCGTAAATTTTGTTATTTTTTTCTTTTCTTTTTTCTCTTTTAACGGGATCAGGGTTCCGACAACAAATGGTAGTACGGTCGTGTGAAAATCCTGATGACATTGGGAATGTTTGAGGGGGTAGAAAAACTGGGAAAGAGGAAGATGTGCATGGTGTAGAACGGTTTTCTATAAAAGAAAAAGGAGCGAATTGTTGGGCAAGTTAGGGTTATTTTTTTGCATTAATGCGTATAATTTGCATTTATATCATTTTGGAATGTTCCTTGCATACCTCTGAGTTTGTACTGCTTCAAACAATTCATTGGACAACCATCTTGATAAAAACTAATTGGGCTTATGATTTGCTCGTAGGCGAAATACTATCCGGTTTCCGAGGCCCAAGCAATTCATCGTCCTTGTAAGATTCAAAATCAGAGACTTTAGTTAGCCAAAACGCGATCTGCAGGGCAGTGAGGCGGAGTAATAACTGCATTCCATCGCCGGCTGGTTTACAATCTATCGGTTGATAAGCTACTTAGACTGATTCAAACCTTCCAGGTATCCAATGCACCGACTTCTGGCCAAGCGGAAGTTTACTGCCTGAAACACTGTGAGTGTAGTTCGTGGGCTTCTTAGTTGAATTGGTTTCAGGGTTTTTGTCAACTCCTCTGGGTGATTTTCCGACCCAGTGATAGTCCTAGACTTCGGCCTTCATCCACCGTTTTACGTGAAGCCACTCAGCAACGTTTTCTCTGGAGAGGCATTGAGTGAGGTGCATGGGCAGATTTACTAGTCGGTATCGAAAACACGCTTTTCGCATAGATCCGTTTCAACGCAGAGAACAATCGAATGATTGACCAAAGTAAGGATCCTAAATGTATATTCTCGTGCAGTGCGGTCGAAAATTTCTTTCAGAGCGGCATCTCACTATTGGTCAATGGACCCCACTCCATTTGAACGAAGCCCATATGGTCGCCTATATCCGTGCCCACTATTGTCATTCGAAGAACTGTATTCATTTACGTTAGTTGACCTAGATTCGCGTACGAGTAACTGGAGCATACGGTATCCGCATTATTTTGAACGCTTGTCTTTTTTAGCCGCAAGCTGATAAGGGGTCTAGAAATATCTGGTTTGGTTTATGAAGCCTGTAGTATGACTCTAGATAATTGAAGAGATTTGTGCATGATTGGCCTCGGTGGAGCGAGGTTCTTATTCCATATGAACAGTATATGCATACAAATCGTATGAGACACAAAAGGAATGAATAAAGAAAAAACCATGCAGGAAATTGTCATAGACTAAATTAACCATAATATTTAGCGATGCCTCTTTTATTTTCGTCTTTGACTTTCCAATTCTCCCGGTATTCTCATCCACACAGCTGCATGTTCATTCAGGGAATAATTTGTTTGATTTCCAATTTATCGTATTTGACTGTGAAAAAACTACAACCTGATGTGAGCCTTGAATTTGATTAGAGGAGAAATTGTAAACAACCATCAAAATTTTAGGAGATATACTATGCTTCTGTCATTAGTCGCCATAGAAAAACAAAAATACCATAGAATGATGATGAAAAGCGCTCGTGCTGTATCTCCGCTTTCGGAGAAATCAGTAGATAGATACACAAGCCTAGTTGTATTCGATGGTTACTTATCCAGTCTGACATCTCGCCGGAATTCTGGCAGATTCACTTACTTCTTTGATAGACATTTGTCAATTCACGAAATCAGCCGTCCTGATCCTACTGGCATTGTTGTCAATAGCCCCAGTGATAGTTCTACTACTACTACCACCAATATTGCTATAAATAACACTACTGTCTCTTCCACTATTTTGTATACATCACTGAAATTTATTCACGATTTTATTCTCTTATCCCTCGTAAGTAAAGCTGTTCTTGTTTTATTCTTTTATTTTTCAGATTGTCATGTTTTCTGTGAAAATCAATTTATTGTGTCTAAGTCAGTCCTCCCGGAATGGTGTCCAAAGCCAACTTGAATTAGTTGAATTTAAACAAATTTGGTCCATGAGTTTTAGTCTGAACCTGGGTAGCATTCTCTGCGTGGCCACTTCCAAATTACTGATTGCTGCTGGAGGTGAAAAAGCGGAGGCCATTGTTTTGCGTCNCCAAGAAAATTTAACTGATATGGGAGGTTCTGCGGTCACTTCTGTTGCTATCCGCGGAAAATTCACTGCTTTCGGATCAAAAGACGGAGTAAGTTTGTCTCTTTTGTAGCCGTGCTTCTTCATAGTAATGATCTAGATGATTCATTTATAAATAACTCGAAGTTGAGGTATGCAGGATTTTATAACCACATTATCATAAGTAGGCTGTAGCGTTCCAGCCGCTGACACACCACAAATGAAATTACGCTGTTATTGATATTGCCGTTGCTTTTAGCTCTCTCTCTCTCTCCAAGTGTACTATTTCATCGTCGAAGTGTTTGTGAAGTCAGCTTACCCGTAACATGATCACACCAAGCTGAGAATACTCCTGCAGTTGTTTGCTTACGAGGGGCAATTCTGCAACCGCCCCAATGCTTTCCGGAAGCATTTTTGTTTCATTTCTTATTGATCTTAGAGAGATGTTACGGGCTTTATCTTGTTTCAGTGTGATGGTTTTCGTGAACTCATTGGTCTATTTGATGAAATTGAACATGATTGTAGCTACACAATCATTCCCTTGGTCCATGTCCACTTTCATCGTTGAAAATATGAGGATGCTAGATTTTGCGATTCATTAGATATAAGTAGCAATGTGGGTAGCCTTAACAGCATTCTGAATACCATATCTTTCATGCAATATGAGTTCTTTACGGTCTTTTTCAAACTTTTGCAATTCTTTTTGTCTCTGTGGTTGATTCCTTCTCCAACAAAGCTGGAGTTTCCTTCACTGAAAGTTTACCATTGATTTAGCAGCCTAATGCACATCTCTCCTACGTATCATCTCTTCTTCAGTCATATGCGGAAGCACTTGGATCTTTTAGTGAAGTTACACAATTTCCACTTCAACGGGCTGAGCGTCGATTTTCACGCTCTTCTAATATGCATTTTTAGTCCTTCCATGACAAACAAATGTTTATGATGAATGCTTCACCACGTATATTCTATTTTTTATAAGTTCACACAGATGTCGTTATATTATTGTTTGTCATTAGTTTTGTACGGTGTCAAACTCCAAACAGAACCACATGAGTTTATACTTAGATAATATGCATAGTGAACTTTTGTGCTGCATTATCCCCACTTATTATTCTGTTTTCAATTGTAAATTTTATCCTGGTATTCAATACCTCGTAAACACTAACAAAGTCTTTTCTTAGGTAATCATTCAGGATGTTAACAAACAATGTACTGTCTCTCATCATTTCCGGTCATTAACACTAGCCGTATGTTGAAACCGTTTAGCCGTTTGTATCACTGTATTTTTGGATGGTATTGCATTTCCTTGATTATTGTTATACCGCTGCAAAGCTCCCACTGCATCTCAACTTGATTGGTAAAAGTACGTGAAACGTGTTGATCCGGCGACGACCCATAACGCCTGATCGATTGTAAAACCGCTTGTCAGTGTCTCGTTACCTGTGCTCCATCTGTGGCTCCCCGCCAGAGCACCTTTGATCATGACAGTAAGCACATCTGGTGGAACCAGGCAGTGATTTGAAGTGTCAGTTTGGCTACCCGACTACTTGTTCAGCCAATCGTGTACAAGTAAAGCAGAGTTGAAACTGATACAACTGCTGGTTCATCATGTGCCAGTACACTTGTGCGTTTGTGCCTGGCATCCGGATCCCATACGATAGTAACTGATGCATATGAGTGCTTGAAGGGCGTTGAGTAAGCGGCCAAAACCGGCTCACGAAGGTGCAATATTAACGGTTATTCAAGCTAAATTGAAAACTGATTACGGGGTGCGTAGGGTGCGAACACCCCACCAAAAGTTACGATGAGTTCTATAAAGGGTACTATGTTTGCTTACTCAATATTTCTCTCAGATTATTTTCTCTTGTGATATTGGTTAGTCATATTCTTGTTTTCATTGTCATTGAATTCAACCTACCGACAAGAGTTGTCCTTTACGCCTAATCTTTTACTATTCATCTACGTTCCATTATTCGTTGGACAGTGTGTTAGAATTTTCAATTTAGGGAGGCAATCCAATATGGAGCACGTGACCACAATTTATGGCGCCGCAAACGATTGGATTACCTCCTTGGCGTGGGGAACTTTACCTGGCCCTTTTCATCCTTGGAATTCCTTTTACATCGTGGTCGGTAGTAATGATGAACAGGTACGGATGTACACGACCGCAGGTAAAAACGCATTCCGACTGTGCGAAACATTACGAGGCCCGGGCGGAGCGATCACCTCTACAAGTGTACAGGTATGGTGGAATTTGTTTGTGTCGATCGCATCCCCAGTAGACAAGAGATAGATAGACAAGGGCGGTGCTGGCCCGGTGGTAACGTCACCAAATTATCACCCCGGGGATGTGTGTTCGAATCCCACCACCACCGCCTGACTTTATCCATTGTGTGTTGAATGGCAGCCCTTTGATTGGCCGCTTCTCCCCTTCCTGAAAACTGTACCATTGCATGTTCAATAAAAGGAAGTAAAATAAAAAGTTTTCAAATCAGATATATGCTCAATACTAGTTTCATCCACGCGCAATTTCACCGTTTTTCGGGATTATTAGAATGCCCATGTTTCATGTTTCCTTTCGTCTTTTCTAGCTCCCGGTTTTACATTCCATATGTTGATTTTTCACAATTTTTTCCTTAACAATGCAAATTCATTAAATTTACTACAAGACCGTTACTGCCTTACGATGTTCTCCTAAGTACTGGTTATAAGGACAGATTTATTCAGCAAACTGTGATTGATCTGAGAGGTAAAGTTGCTACCATGAAGTTTGGAATGAAAAACCAGTTCATCAGTCTTTCTCTGAAGATTTTTATCAAAAAATCTCACAAAACCCTTAATATCTTGATTACCTATCTTCACTTTTACAAAATTACACCGTTCACAGCTTTGAGATTTTAAAGTTATGTAGTCGGATTTAATATATGGCTGTTGAACGATTGTTGAGAGTAGAGACAACTGTTAGTAGACGTCTACATGACTTCGGCTACTCTTACATGCGCAGTTCTCGGTGGATTGTACTTTATATACATATCCACAATAGTTTTTAGTCTTATAAGGAATGGCTCTTTTCGATTATCTTGATTGGTTTTGAAGTGTTCCATTCTTCGAACTAGTACCCACCAAAACATTGCCTTATATAATAATTCGTTAGGTAGCTCTTTCTTCTAAAGTGATCACCGAAAAATCATTTGAAAGCTAGCCATCAGATGACATTATGCGCATATTTTCCCTTATCAATGTGGGCGGTGAAAACAAACTACAGAGATTACATAATGTTGTTCAAGAGTCATTTCACTGCCTCAATTGGTGCTTAGTCTACGAAATAGGAAAATATGCATTTAATTAATAGTTAATAGGGAATACTCAGTCATACTAATGCTGGGTCAATAGGTCCGCATGTATCACCTGTGTGGATTCTGTGTCCATCAGCTTATCGATTAGTTGTGATGTGATAGAAAGAAGTGGTATTATGCTTCTGATTGTTCGTTATTTTAATTATCTGAGAACGCTGTCTTAAGGATCAATAAATACTTGTGTATTTCTCTGTTTTGCCTTTTGTGAATCCCATCGTTATTTTTTATTATTATTTTATTAGGGTCCGTTCATTGCGGCCGGTTCCTCGGAAGGTCGTATCCGTCTATGGAGCGTATCCAAGACCCTAATCAGTGATACCTTGACCACATTAGATCCCTCAACTGAAAAGCTAGAAGGTGGTGGTCAACCGGGAAAGTTGATTTGTGCACAGCTGTGCTATTCCGCTCTCTGTAAGTTCCCTCATCATAGATGCCCATAACCTTGAGTTCTTTTGGTTCCTCATCCTGTTGAAGTGCTGTCGTAGATTTCCTGAAATATTTAATTGTGAACCTTTCTACCGGCACACACTCCTTCGAACTCTCCTCCATTTTTTCTTGTTTTACGGTCCTGTCACGCCATGATGCTTTCTTTTGTTATACGTTTTAGCTGCATCGTCTCATACTGAAAACAAGCTCAAACCCGAGTCCAACAGAGAGGACGAGTCGGACGATTCAAATATATTCGCTCGAATGGATATAGAAGGTTTGATATCGAACGAAAATCCCGACTATTCTAGCGACGAAGATGTCGATATGGATGCTGATGATGACACCTCATCAGTTAGCAGTACAACTTCTGACGTATCGCATCCAGACGAAGCAATGAATGACCCTACAGACATCGTTAGCGTTGGCCATCGATTACAACCAGACATGCATTCATTTGAGAATATTCCCAAATTCACACGTGGTGACGTGCGGTCCAGAGGTCTGAGGGCATCGGAATTGCGTTTAATTGTTGGACAAGAACTGGCCGCTTCAGTTATTGGAAACGATAGTGGAGCCCAGTTTCGTTTCCGAACGTATGCACCTTTAGTACTGGAACAACGTGCCACGCTTCAAGGTCATCTCGGATTGATAGCAAATAGCCTGTCAAGTTCTGTCGCTCACACGGACCAAGACAGTGAGTGCACGCTAGTTAGTGTTGCTCGCGGTCAGAATTCTAATATCGGGTGTGATGTCCGATTGTGGCAGTTACCGGCTTATGGAACTCCGAAGACAGGTAGGATCATAGTGCTTTCAAATAATTTCTTCTAACCCTTTTTGCTTTTTGATGTCTCCAAACACGAACAACGAGAAGTCTTATTAGATCAACTAAGCAAATTGCTCATAAATGATTCACCATTGGTAAAGATGATGTCTTCAAACGCCTTATCATTGTTTCCACAACCAGTCAACCTAAATATTCGCGATGCTGTTTTGGTTTCCGACTAGCGATGTCCGTTCACTCAAGTAATGAAGAGATGTGCAGAATAAAACGAAATTGCAACTAAGTCTAACCAAGGCCAAAAGTATTCATTTCATAACGCCCGTTTTTTTCAGTTGTGCACTGTTTGCGACACAGCCATATGATCCAAACCGAACGATACCGACAGCTGATCATGAACTATGCCCACTGACCAAGATCACGTTTGAAATCAGTTCGGATACCTTCCAATCGCTGTTTACTTCAGCAAACGCTGAATGCCAATGCAATTATTTCGGCCGCATGCGTAATGTACGAGCCAACCATCACATTCTGTCACCTAACGTTGTTTACGTAGCCCGCACACCGCGCGTCCTGTTGTCCGATCAGATTAGTATGGTGCTGCTTAGACGGCTGTGATAAAGTACCGACAGTCCATAGTTGTCTTTTCCAAGCAACAGTAAAGTGTGCTTACCATGCACCATTACTCTCCGGAACTATTCTCTGCAGGAGTGCATCGTGGCAGCGCACTTCCGAAATTTGCAGTTTATTTGCAAGATGTTTCATCTAGCATTCCCCAATTGACTAAACTTACCTTTTTTACTCTATCCTCGTTCTAAGCGAAATTTTCAAACGGAGTAAGTGCTTCCATCCCCCCAAAAGAACTTGATATTTGATAAAGTTTTATCCGCTNTTATCCGCTTGATATGGTTTTGAACATATCAGTTCTTCCCTGATTTCTCCGTTTGTCCATAACTGTTGGCGTTTTCTCTGTGTAACTCATTGACTTTCATTTCACCTTCCATCCCCGTTTCCAGTAGTGCCCATGAAACACAGTGGTCCGGTTACTTCAGTAGCTCGTTTCTGCAAAGACAATCGAACAATCTGGTTTGTCTCTGGTGGTACAGATGGTTGTTTAATTTTCTGGCGTCCTGACTATTCAGCTCCAAAACCAGCCGTCGGCACAAACCTAGTGGCAAGTCGTGTCACCTGGACGCCCGCATTCCGTGTGATTTGTTCGAATGTAAAAATCACCTCGATTTTGATGTGTCCAGCACCGACACAACTCGTGGATTCTATCTGCATTTGTTTCACTGTTGGATGTCGAGTCGTTGTGTTGTGTCTGAATACACCGATGTTACAAACGCTTGAATCGCAAGGAATTGTCCGCTGGGAACAACTGAAACAAATGTACGATCCATCGTTGCACGCATCCTCCCCTCGAGTTATTACCGCTGAGTGAGTCACATATCGGCTTGTTGTATTTCCAAAACTGGCGCACGAAAGTGCCTGGTTAATGGTTGTAAAAACTGAGTTGAACTTGTTTTATTTCCGATTCGTTCGGTTAACTGCACAGCATCATTCTATGATGTTCTTTCTGCTTTTCAAATTCCATTTTTAAGGTGAGCAGTTGTTCTCTCATATTTTGTGCTTCAGTGCTTTTTTATGCGCTCAGGAAGCCCACTGAATCGTGTGGATGTGATGTTTGTTACCATAGTAACTTTAATATAATCGTAAAATATAGACTGCGTTTGTTGTGGCGAACTTGAATACATTGGATAACTAATCTGTTTTTGTCCACCATTGAGTGCTACCAGAGATGTGGCACAGTCCACGATGGACATCAAGTTGTTTCGGCCTTCCGGTCCCGTTGTCCCCTGTGTTCTCTGCCCAGTTCCCTGCCGAATTAGCGTATAGGGGTTCTTCGTTCAAATTATCATAATAATTTACTCCATTTTGATCTTGTTAGTTTGCATCCGTTACTTCACAAAGTCAAATGAAGGTCGAGTTCAAGATAGAATATTGGATTATTTTCATTGCCAGATTTCGCTCCTTGATGTGAGATGAATGTATCTACGACTTTGCCGAAGTCCTTTGTGAACAACCCTGTCAACTTTTCTGTTAAAAGCCTGGAAATTGGCGTAGTTCGTTCTGTATGAAGTATTAAAGATTGACCTATTGGGCATCCTTTTAAAATCTCGCTCAAAATCTGTGGTATCTTTAAGGACAGAGTTGACAAACCCACTCTTTTCCATCTAAGTAGGAATAAGGGCCCCAGGAAAAAAGATGCAAGTGAGGTAATCCGATCGTACGCTAATTCGTCATCAGCAACGCCGTCTTGACCGACAGGCTAAACATCTGAAGGCTCAGTCCAAATGATACTCATCGATATCAGACCTACCATCCCGCACTTCGAACGGGCAAATACTCCCACTTGNTGTATCTGAAGTGGAGGTTTCCTGGGAAATAAGCTATCTCAAAAGGCATAGGGCTTCCGGTCCAGATGAGCTGTCCCCATCACCTTTTGAGGTCGGAGCTGACAAAACTCCTGGGCTCAATATGGGGGAGCAAATAGATTCCAGCTGAATGGTGTGAATCNGAGAATTAGTTCAATCAACATTATCTCTAAACTTCTCGTTGGGATCGTACTCCGTCGATTATCGACCGCACATGAGCGGTGTACGCGTTGGGAACCAGGTTGGTTTTAGACCTGGTCGAGGTTGAATCGACCACATCTTCACTCTTCGTCAAATGCAGTTCTACTATACGGCGCAAAAACTTTGCCATTCGGAAAACAGGATACCGCGATCTACGCAGCATTGCCCGATCCTGGTGGGGTGGCCGGCTGAGCAATACTGAGATGAGGTACCTACTGTCATCCACTGGAGTAAGTGCTCGATCTCCATAGATTACGTTGGTTGGGGTGTGTTAAGCACGTCATCAACTAGGTTCTACGGGAGCGATGTTCGACGAGGCAGTTAGTGGATGGAATAAAAATGAGGGAGGTATAGTTAGGACCTGGCACGAGAAAACGCAACCCCTAACCAATGTACTGGGTCACATAAATGCCGTTAGGCTTTCTGGATGGGGACCTCGAGATGGTCGTAAAAGAAGGTTAGAGACACGCAGTGATATGGCTAAATGTCGTCAACGGCGGCGTTCGTACAACTTCTCAATTGCTTTGCAATCTTAGTCTACTGATACATCTAATTCTTAAAAAATCCTCGTGCGAGGATAGCGGTATCAATTTACTTTTAGGTGGCAGACTGTCTGATCTAAAGGATGAAAACGACATTGTGCTGCTAAATGAGGATCCAAGTAAGTTGCAAGCATTTCTGGATAATTTGAGTACTAGTGTATCCATTTTCAGTTTGCGTCTCGTACCTTCAAAGTGTGGAATGTTGCTCCACGATTAAGCTGGTCCAGCACCCAGTCTCACCCTGACTGAGGAAGTAGACAAATTTTGTTATCTGGGCAGCTATATCTCACCTGGCGGACGCATCACAGATGAAGGTTTTGTTGTTTGGGCAGCTACATCTCACCCGGTGGACGCATCACGAATGAAGTGTCGGCGTGCTATCTAGGCAGCTATATCTCACCCGGCGGACGCATCACAGATGAAGTGTCGGCGCGCGCAGGCAGCTATATCTCACCCGGCGGACGCATCACAGATGAACTGTCGGCGCGCATACAAAAAAGCTCGGTTGGCATTTGCCAACTTGAGACATTTGTGGCGCCGTCGCGACATCCGGCTGTCTGTGAAGGGTCGAGTATATGCTGCAGCAGTTCGGCCAGTGCTGCTCTACGGTGCAGAAACTTGGTCACTACGGGAACAGGATAAAAATAGATTGCCGGTGTTCGAACAACACTGTCTACGTAGCATTGCACGAGTCGGTTGGGGAAACCGGACGAACAATGCTGGGGTTAGGCGTAGAGTTTTAGGTAACTGCGGTCGTCCACTGGAGCAGGTATTATACCTCCATAGGTTCGTTGGTTGGAGCATGTTTTACGCATGTTACTAGATAGGTTGTCACGGCGAGCGATGTTTGCCGAAGCAGGTAGCGGTTGGAAAAAGGTCAAGGGTGGTCAAATGAGGGTGTGAAAGCTCTGACCAGGAGACTAGTTCACATGAACTCCGTGGTTAGGGACCTCGGGATGATGGTCACCAATGGTTAGCGACACTGAGTAATATGGCTGGTTGTCGCGAACAGTGACGCTCGTGCATTTGCTCATTATTCTCTAAACACCATTCTGTATGAATTCTCTATCTTCCGCTTGGATTTGCTTTCAATATTCCAATCTTCTTTCTGCTCATTTATCCAAACGACAGGAACCAAAACCGGCGCACGAAAGTGCATGAATAATGGTTGTAAAAACTGAACTGAAGGCGTAGAGTATTGGGTAGTCGTGGTCATCCACTGGAGCAAGTGGTCGACCCCCATTGGATTATTTTTGTTGGGGCG